GTCCAAAATCCATAGGCAAATTGACAGCCTGGAAAATTAGTTAAGAGTTGATGTTGAGGTTTTGAGTATAATTCTTCAGGGTAGTAGGCTGGAAACTCAGGCAGAGTTTCTACGTTCAGTCTTGAGGACAGTTCTTTTTTTTTTTTTTTTTTTCCTGGGAAATTTCAGTCTTTGCTTTTAAGGCTTTCAACTGATTGGATAGGCTCCATCCACATTATAAAGAGTAATCTGCTTTACTCCAGGTCTACTGACTTAAATGCAAATCACATCTGAAAATATTTTCCCAGCAACATCTAGACTAGTGTTTGACTAAACAGCAGGGTATCCTAGCCCAGCAAAACTGACACACAAACTTAACCATCACACAAGTGGTAAAGAATTCTAAATCCAGCCAGAAGCCTACATTCTCTGTCCATATCTAGATGTTGGTCCAGTCTCCCATGGACTTTGCCATTATTTGTTTTCTCTTGCTAAGCCACATCCCCTGAGGGCTCTGTTTATGGTCACTGCAAAATCTTTGACTTTTTAACTTATTGGGCATACTGTCTTCCTACTTTTGTTCTCTTCTATTATTTTATTTACTTGAGTCTGACATGTCTCATTCCCAATGCATTGGCCAGTCATCTTCAATTCTATACTGTTGGTCACAGTGAAAAGCAGTAGATAACAGAACATAAGTGGAGAGCTCAGATATCTAAGAACTAAAATGTAAACTGGAGTAAATTCACTTGTGTCACTTTCAGTAGTGTTGTGTTTATGTTCCCAAGGAGAATGCTGTTAAGATGAAGATGCTGATCGTGTTACTTAGTATTACAGAGGTAAGCTATTTTGTGGCAGTGAATAAACCTTAAGTCCTTTTGGAATGTGCAGGACAGATGTCAAAAAATCAAGTGAGGTCATAATTGAAAGTCCCTCAAAAATTATAAAAATGCTTTAAAAAGGCTGTTTATTTAAACACCTAATATGGTTCTTCATTGAATTTTTCACCTTTCTTCTGTTAGATGGGAACATTACCTATCCCCATCTACAAAGGAGTTACTTTGGGGAAGAAACTTCTTCTTATGTGTTTAGTGTAATGAGTAAAAGCTCAGATTTTGAGGGCCTGAACTTGAAACCCAATTTGGTCTTTGGACAAAGCAGGTATCTTCTCTTTCCCTAGGTCTCTTTGTTCTTATTTTTTAAATGGACATAAAATAATAAGTGCCTGGCATGCTTTAGTACTATTATTATTCTAGTTATCCCATTCACTAGGACTTGCTCTGTTAATATTAACATCTACATTTTAGATTGATTCTATTAACATGGTTTAAACTGCTTTGATCTTTATAACAAAGCATCCACAGTTAACAAAGACCCTATCAAAATCAACCTTTGGGAGCATGAAAATCTGAGAAATGTGAGTCTTTAAAGGCTACTTACAGAGTGGAAATCAAAGTAATTAATTCTCAAAATTATTGAGAAAGAGTAAGAAAATATAGACTCAATAGTGCAGGAATGGTTCTTTCCAATATTGCCTAATGATAGAGCAAACCTATCTGAGTTCTCTGGCTTGTCTCTGCATTTAAGATAATGGGTTTTGAAATTCAAATGCAAATATAACAGTTAAATCTGCTCAGATAAAGTACTTTTTGATACATTGCTGGATGTATTATCCTTCAGGCTAATAAATAATTAGCACTATTTTTGTAATATTTTTGAAGTGGTGATTTGTACATTTTTATTAAGAGAAATAATTCACATATCATAAGATTCACCCATTTACAGTGTGCAATTAAATGGATTTTAGTATTTTTGACAGACTCATGCAACTATCACTCCTAATTTCATTACCCCAAAAAGAAACCCCATACCTATTAGCAGTCATTCTCCATTCTCCTCCCTTGCACCCCAATCCTATGCAATCACTAACCTAATTTCTGTCTCTAAGGACTTGCCTATTCTAGTAGAAATTTTATATGAATGAAACCATACAATATACCATCTTTTTGACTGAATTCTTTATCTTAATATATTTTGTTTTCAAGGTTAATCCATGTTGTGCTTCATTCCTTGTTATCAATGAATAACAATCTACTATATGGATATAACACCTTTTGTTTGTTCCTTGGATGGAAAATAGAGTTGTTTCTACTGTTTGGCTATTATAAACAATGCTGCTATGGTAATTTGTGTACCATTTTTTTTGTGTGTGTGTGTGGATATGTTTTAATTTCTCCTGGATACCTATAAGTAGGATTTATATGCATTTTAAACCAGTGTTAAGATGATTATCGAATTATTTTTGTAAATGAGTAAACACAAAGAGATTCCTGCTTCACAGAAAAATTAGAGCAGAAAGAGAAGTGTCTTACATTTAGATAGGTTATAAGATGTTTTCAAATAGTTACCTCAAATACTGGAAATTGTTCTGAATGAGGAAGCAAAGGTGCACTTTTTCCCATTTCACAGATAAGAAAATGGACCACTCTGAGAAACCTGGCTTAAATCTCGCATCAGGCAAATGGGAGAGGAAAGGAGAAAAACCCTTATTTCCACATTCTTTACAAAATTACCTGGTTCTTTAGTAGGGGATTATTATGTTTTTATACCTATAGAAATTTTTAAAAGTAATAAAGATATCTTTATAAAATCTGGCTAATTATATAGCAAATTCATTTTTCTTTTTTAATGGATAAATGCAGAAATTAAGATACTTTATTTAATCTATAGGTCTGTTATTCCTTTACTTTCACTATGATATGTATATGTGTGTATGTATATGTATATCTATGTCTGTGTATATGAACACATACCCATTGGAAAAAAATATAAATATATATTCCTACATATCTGGTCCTTTGACCTTTCCCTTTTTTCCTAATCTTTCTATACTTTGATACTTGGACTGCTAAGTAATTTTGAATAAAATTACAAAATAGAATGCCACTGTACCACTTTCAGGCCTTCCACCTCAACTGGGCTCTCAGAATGATTCAGCAAATAGTTTTTTATGCTTTTGGTTGATCTTTACCCTGAGGATATTTAAGTTATCAGAAGCAATGGGCACATCGCATCTGATGTCTCCATCTGGATATCAAACCTTTTAGTGCAAGCATTGCTTCATGTGCCTTTCCCCTCTAATGTCCACTAGAGTGACTTGCACATTGAGGGTACTCAGTAGATATTTGCTGATTAAGATTATTATGACACACTAATATCCAGCACATGATTTAAAGTAACTATGACCAAACTATTAGCAAGCAGACCTTTGTATACACTTTTTCAGGCAATAATATAACACGGACAATGTTCGATTATATGTGTCAGGAAGTTGATAGAATTACCAAAATATTTATATATTTTATTGTTATACAAACCTTGATCACGGCTGAACATTTTATAGTAATTAATTTTGGTACTAACCAGTAAAAAGAACCTTACTACCTTAATTTTCAAATTTGGAGGAGTTAGCTACATTCGCACCTAACCTACCAGTGGATCTGATGCTGGTGTTTTCCCCATTGAAGTCCAGAAGGATCTGATGATTCATGGCCCAATTTAGTTTACACTTTTATTAATGGTTTTTATTAGTGGGGACTAGGTAAACAAATAAATACCTAACTTTGACCTTTAATTTTACTTTGATAATGGTGAACATGTGCTTTAAAAAAATTTTTTTTTGAGACAGGGTCTCACTCACATCACTCCGGCTGCAGTGCAGTGGTCTGATCATGGCTCACTGCAGCCTCCACCTCTCAGGCTCAAGCGATTCTCCCACCTCAGTCTCCCCAGTAGTTGGGACTATAGGTGCACACCACCAATTTTTTTTTGTAGAGATGGGATTTCGCCATGCTGCTCAGGCTAGTTTCAAATTCTTGAGCTAAAGCAATTCTGTCCACCTTGGCCTTCCAAAGTGCTGGGATTACAGGCATGAGCCACCATGCCCAGCCCAACATGTAAGTTTTTGAAAATGTGTCCAATACAAGATAAATGTGCTAAGAGCTATAAGTGAGAAGGGCAGGTATAATCATTGCTTTGACTTTTCTCTCTCTTCAGAGTTAGAGTCATTCATACCCTTTATATTTGTTCTGGAAAATTAGTTAAATATAAGATGAGACAAACGTTGAGAATGGGTAGAAAGAAAGGAGGAAACAAGTCTGACCTACTGTTTTATTTCTCACTACCTTGTTTTACTCATGGCCAAACATGTTATCCTTAAGACAGTGACTAAATCATAACAGATACATTTCAATCACCAGTCCCAATCCACCTATATGCAGCTTTAGTTATTCATTTATATATATCTTTAAGAGATTAATTTTATATGTCAAGTTCTATTGTATGCAGAAGCAATAATGTTGAGGGCCTCTCTAGGATGGCTTCAACAGAAATAATAAATATATACAGAGTAATAAACATGTTGCTCTTGAACCAGACACATATTTTGATGAGTTACAATTAGCAATTATCTTGGCAAGACAGAATTTTTACTGTAGAATGTTTTCTGTTGAAAACACAAGCTTTCTTCAAAGTCACTCAGTGTAGATATCATGTGCAACTGATAATAAGTAAGTTAATTGGTCCATTGTTAGCTTCCTAATAAGCCTTTAGATTAAAAAACCCATATATACAAGGTACTGATTCCACAGTCCTAAAAATAAAAATAAAGCCATTTTCTTATGACATCACATAATTAAATGGTTGGATATTGTAATTCCCAGGCATCTTCATGTTCTATGGCAGTAAGAATTGGAAAATTCAAAGCAACCATGCATCCATTGTAACAACAACAACAACAACAAAAACAAAAGAGAGGCATTTTAATAATGATATATGAAAATGAATTATAATTTTTATACTGAGAAATAGATAGCCAATAATATATGACTGTATTACAAGAGTATTTTAACAGTAGTCAGCTTAATTCACTGCATGGAAGACATAAGCAGTTTTACTTTCCTACTACTTACTTAAAATTTACTATTTGCCTGGAAAGCACTGATTTACTATCACCAACTTACTTGTATTTCAAAGGTCCCCAACTTGGCAAGCTCGTGGCCTTATCTTGACAGCCCTGCTATGTCCACATGTTCTTTTAGTTGACACAAAAGAGTTCAACCTGAAAGCATACAACCGGAGTTTATTATTCACAAAACCAGATTTCTGCTAGTGCAGCACTACACATTTCATCAGCTATTTGGAGTAGCATGGTCTTTGGGGTGTCTTCTCTTAAATGCTGTCAGGAAAAGAATCTTGAGACACAGCTCAGTGCTGCTGACATGTCACACTGTTTATGTGACCAGGGGAGCTTCTGTTTCTGATGGAGGTAACAGGCCTTAATTGCTAGTCAATAATTGGATGAGAAGATAGAGGCTTCTTTACACAGAGGAAAGAAACTAACATGACTACCTGTTGCCTGTGCCTCATTAACTCTGTACATGCAAAAGAAGCATCAATTCATTAGCTCAGCTGGGTTGAAATTTCTGATGATGACTAGGCATAAATAAGTAAGAAAATAAAAGGAAACAGGATAGACAAGGGCATGGGGTGGGAGGAGGGGGAAACCCATGTTTTCCAAAAGGGAAGAAAGAAAGGTGGTATGCTTGATGGTTTCAGGACCAGCTAACCTTGGCATTTGTTCTGTTTGGCTGACATAACAAAGTAATATAGACTGGTGGCCTCAACGATAGACATTTACTTCTCAAAGTTCTGGGGCTGGAAGTCCAAGATCAAGGTTTCAGCAGCTTCAGTTCCTGGTGAGGGTTCTCTTCCTGGCTTGCAGAAGCCACTCGTGCTATATTTTCTTATGATCTTTCCTCAGTATGTGACCTCATAAAAGGAGATTTCTTTTCCTTTTTTTCTACTAAACCACTAATTTTATCATGAGGGCATCATCCCCATGACCTAATCTAACCCTAATTTTCTCCCAAAGGTCCTATCTTCAAATATCATCATACCAGAAATTAGAGCTTTAACATATGCATTACGGGGAGGACATGATTCAGTTCATAACAGCCTTTAAGGCCTGAAGTCTTTTCTTGGTGAAGTGATTATGTTGGGTGCTGGATGCAGAAAGGAGATTCAGGATCAGAGCTGGGCATGGAGAAGGGTCAGGGCTGCCTGTTATCTACAGAGCCTGGAGCCAAGAGAGATACAAAAGGCAACTAGGGACCAAGGGCAAAATCAAGAGCCAACCCCAACATACAAAGAAAGAATACTCAAAAGGGGTTATTCTCAGAGGAAGGAAAATTGAAGTCATCAAAGCTGAGCAAGTAGGTGTAGAAGAGATGTTTAAGAGGCAGCGCTTCATAGGAGCTCCTGAAGAGTTGCAGTATAACTCCATGTGTGCCTCTGGGAGTAGTGGGAGGGAGAGGCTAAGAAGAACAAAGAATACATAAATATATAAAGAGAAAATTGATTAGTGGCTTCCAAAGAGATCCTGGCTTCTATAAAGACCTTAGAGTTCAATCATTTGCATGTGCATAAAATATCTAGGAAGACACCTAGAAATTAGGAAGACTGGTTGTCTCTGAGGAGGGGAGGTAAGTGACAGTGGCTTTGGGCTGGAGGGAGACTTTTCACTATGCTCTCTTTTGTATTTTTTAAAATTCTGAGCTATAGGACTGTAACAAAGGAAAAAGTAATATCACTTAAAGTTATATGTTATTACTATTATTATTATTATTTGAGCCCAGGCTGGAGTGCAGTGGAATGATCTTGGCTCGCTGCAACCTCCGCCTCCCAGGTTCAAGTGATTCTCCCACCGGAGCCTCTCTAGTAGCTGGAACTACAGGCATGCACCACCACACCTGGTTACTTTTTGGTATTTTTAGTAGAGACTAGGTTTCACCATATTGGCCAGGCTGGTCTCGAATTCCTGATCTCAAGTGATCTGCCCACCTTAACCTCCCAGTGCTGGGATTACAGCCACTGTGCCTAGCTATCACTTGAAATTTTAAAAGGGAATAAATAAAGTAAAATGTAAAACTCAAAAAGAACTAGAGAAAGAGAGAGAGAGAACATTAAGAAGAAATGTAAAATTTTCTTCATAAGTGCTTCTAAGGCTAGCAACTATGGGCCCCCTCTGCTATTTTCATCATGGAACTCCTGCTACTGAATTAGGAAAGGAAGCTGTAAAATTATATCAATGTCCCTATTCTGCTTTAAGTAAAAGCATCTTTATTTTTATCATGATCATGCCTCAAAAATTGGGCTCATATTCATATGAGAATTTTATATAAACAGGCTTCTTCTTGTCACTCAGTAGAATACTTGATTACTCACAATAAATCACTATCATTATTATCATAAAATACCTCTAAATTTCTAACTGATACATCTTTACTAAATGCTTAAAGCACACCAAATTCTGAAAGCCACTATGTACATGGCCCAACCCAGACAGCACATAACGCAGGTACACACGGCATAATATTAGGATAATAACCAGTATAAGCCAAAGAGTGAACATATACTGAGTAGAGAAGTTAAGTAGAGAATATTTAAACATGGCAAATATTGGAAGCATCATAAAAATTCACCTCTCATCAGTTGCTAGGAAAAGGTTGCTTGGGGAAGATAACTCGCTCTTGAGCAATTACAGAGAAGAGAGGAAATGCCAGGCATGTAACAGCCGAGAAGAACATTCAGAGATAAGTGAGATAATTGGGTAAAGGCAGACTAAATAAATGTTCCAGGGAAAATGACTGTCCAGCGGCTGAAGAGTGGGAAGACAGTCAGCCTCACAGAGACTTGGGAGAAGAGGCTGGAGGATGGGCAGGATATAATAGCACATTATGTTCAAAATGCTAAACTGTACAGTTCCCATGGCAAATGGCAGGACCAAAAAAACACATTGGCAGCAGCCTGAGAATGAATGAGGAGCCAGGGGAAAACAGTGCTTCAATTGAAAAAAGGGGGTTAGTAGTGCCAACGCTGCACAGGATGCAAGAAAAATAAGGACCTAGAAGAAGTCCTTTTTTATTTAGCTACAACATGGTGATTGGAGACCTGAAGAGCAGAGTCGGGACAGGGTGTGGCAAGTGCAGTCTTCTGCAATTTTCAAGATGAATGTGGGTTGCAGATGTGGGGACTCTGAGTGCAGACAAATCTTAAAAGCAAGACTGGAAAAGAAATGAGGAATAGAAATGGCTAAAAATGTCAGACAATTTGTTTTATTTTCCATAGGAGAGAGGTTCAGACACATGGAAATGAAGACTAGTAGCAAGGGAGAGGTTTATGTTATAGTGGGTTAGCAAAGACTAATGCAGTAGCATGGCTGAGCATGAAGGCCATGAGTGCAAGAGTGTGAATCAGCATTAGCAAGCAGGACAGTAACTTCCACAGAAAACGGAGAGAAGGCTAAGTTTTAGCTCCTCCTATGGCCCCTACCTCAGGAGTAGTGCCTTAAGTCAGGAGGTGGTTTTAAAGTTATGCATGTGTAGCATCTCTAGTAGCATAGCAGCGACACTGGGTAGCTCTGCAGAGGGATTAGAGGTGGCAGAGGGTTAGGAATGGCCTCCAAGGCACCAGCAGGGGCACTTGAGTATGAGACCCAGGCAGGTGCTTAAGGACATTTCTGTCTAATGCACCATAGCAGTGGTGTTTAGAATCAACCATGTAGAGCCTGCGTTTCTTATCTATAAAATGATGGTAATAATGCCAATTTTTTTCACAGGTTTTTCAATGAAGATTAAATGATACAGTGATTGTAATATGCTTAGCACAGTGTGTGGAAAATTGCTAGCTTTAGACAAGAGTCTTAACTCTTTCCATCCTCAACACCTTGGACCAAGCAAGTGTACAATCACCATAATGCAAAATGTACAGTATTTGCACAAAGTCTAGTGTAGTTCCATAGGTAAATGCACTAAGGTGATTATGACAGTTATTTGACCTAAAGACTATGAGTGACAGCGAATGTAAATTCCAATGCTGTCAGCTTGAATCAACACATATCAGGAGCAATGATCCATTTACTTCTGGGTAATGAGAGAAAGTTACAATGTTGTGAATATATTATGGCTTCTTGGATTTTTTATTGCTTTTCCTGTGCATTAATACAATAACAAGAAGCATGAATCATTTGCTTCTAGACTGCAAGAAGCAGCAAACTAGGTGCTGATTATTTTGTGTCAGAAAATCATTTCTGAAAGAAAAACAACCAGGATGGGACTGTGGCATTTACTGACAAGTGCTTTATATTTGCAGCTATTCATATTAGGTGATTTGTCTCTGGAATAATTTGGTTCCTGTTTGGGAAGAATACATGTTAGAAAGGCAATGTACAAAGTCAGTCAAATGTGAGCACTGAAAACAAATTTTACAAAGGAGAATCGTGCATTGTTTTAACCAACATTTTTTTGTGCCTACTATGTACCAAGCTTTGTACTAGGTTTTGGAGTACAACATTCTTATCACACATTCTCTGTGAAGACCTTTATGTTACAGTGGCAGACAAAGCAATATGGTAAATAGTAAATTTAATGACAGATGAGGGTTTGGATATTATGAGCTCAGAGGAGTGAATCTTTATGTAGTCTTGAAGATCCATGGTGAATGTTATCCCTTGTTATTTTTTTTAAAAAATGTTAATTTTTAAAAAATATTATTTTTTTCAGTTTTATGAAGGTACAATTGACAACTAAAATTATATATATTTACAGTGCACAAGGTGATATTTTTTGTTTTTAAAGTTTTTGAAAAAACTTTTAAGTTTGGGGGTACATGTAAAGGTATGTTACATAGGTAAATACGTGTCATGGGTTTTTTGGTACATATTATTTCATCACCTAGGTATTAAGCCCAGTGCCCAATAATTCTCTTTTCTGCTCCTCTCCCTCCTGCCACCCTACTACCTCAAGTAGATCCTAGTGTCAGTTGTTTCCTTCTTTGTGTTCATAAGTTCTTATCATTTAGCTCCCACTTACAAGTGAGAACATATGGTATTTGGTTTTCTGTTCCTGCATTAGTTTGCTAAGAATGATAGCTTCCAGCTCCATCTGTGTTCCTGCAAAAGATATGATCTTATTCTTTTTATGGTTGCATAGTATTTCATGGTGCATATGTACTACATTTTCTTCATCCAGTCTGTCATTGATGGGCATTTAGGTAGATTCC